TTCTCACAGTTGATTAACCAAAGTAAATGGTAGCAAATGGACTTCCACCCTTAAAATGCAATTAAGTGTTTCTGCTTGCATGTGGATGCTCTCAGGATGCTGGGAGGCGTGGAGGTGCGTGTGGTCCCCGTGCCGAGAAGTTACCCTAACGCACGCAGGAGAAACTCATAAGTGATGAGCTTAAGCCCCTGGGCAAGTGGTTGCAGCCTGCCAAGAACACAAGAGATTTGGTTTTACTGAAAAATGCAAACAATATTGTGTTCATCTTGCCTCTCATCATCCAGCACATTCATACGTCTGGGGCGCAGGTTCTTATCTCTGCAGCCCTTTTGCAGCCTCTTATGGAAATTCCTACCTCAGTGTTGCTCTTGCTGAAAGCTTACTGAAAGTTAGGTGGATAATTAGCACCAAGTTTGTTTTGAGGTTCCTTCCTTGCTGATTGTAAAAAGGGTGGACTGAAACAGAGAGGAATTTTTAATGCTTCGCCTCTCCTCATCCAGGCAGCCCCGGAGTGGTGCAACACACGTGATTTTGTACCACTGCTACTCTTCCAGCATGTGTTTCCCACACTGATGCTCCTCCAACTTGCGTGTCAGGCAGCCAGAGGAGCTGCTGTTTTCCATCTTCTACCTCCAGCCTGTCCCTCCCTGCTCCTGAGTGACGTGGGCTGCTTAACAGGCTGCTGACAAGTATCAAATCTGTTCTTGGGCACTACTCCACATCCAAGCAACAAAGCTTACAAATTAAGCCTCCTGTCTTGGCCAATTTTGTTTCTCCACCTGGAGAATTCATTCTGGCCTGTGAGTAACTCAGTCAAACATCTGCAGTCCTGGCCAGTTCCTCTGCCAGCAGCTCACCCACTTGAATTAGCTGGCTCCTCTCCGTTCTTGAGGGCTGCATTTCTCCAGGCAGGACCGTGTCCTTAGATGTCACTGTGCCATCCAGGCTCAACTTTACTCATTCTTTTGATGTACTTGGACTGGAGATGAAGCCAATCCTAAAGCAGATCGGGTTTTTTTTGTTTCGTTTTAGAATTAAAATTCTAACGATTCTTTACCGCTGCTTTCCAGAAGTCCCTGGTGGAGTCCTTCTGAGATCTGTGCTTCTTTCTGCTTGCTCTGAACAGTGCTTTAGACTCACTAGACGAAGGCTGTTCTCCCATTTGAAGATCTGAAATTTCATGAGATCATGTGCAGCTCAGTGGTATTATTTTGAATGAGGAGCTAATTACCTATGTTGTTATTACGAATCGCTAATCATCAGCACTATTAGCAATGACAGTGATGCTATTTAATTTCTCTCTGCTTCTTCCCTGTGAGTGGGAAGCGTTTCTGTCTGCTTTCTAAGCAGAAAAACCTGAATTGCAGAGGTTTAATGGTGTGATTAGTCTTGCAGCCGGCCTGCTGTCGCTGGCCCTGGGAGCGTGCCATGAAACCCAAGACCAAGATGTGCATTACATGGTGCTCCATCTGAGCTCTCTGCTGCCATATAGGAAAGTTAATCAGAGACTCAGGGGATGAAGATAGTGGTGGGTTTTCTTTTTTTCCTTTTTGGTTGCTGTGACAGTAGTTTTAAATTAAGGCCAGCATGGATAAAGTGCTTGTAAGAATTTCTTTGGTTTATAATCTTTTACTGACCCTGGTGGTTACTCATGAGTTGACCTTGTCTCTTTTGTGGCTGGAGGGGTCTTGAATTTCCCTGAAGTGGTTATTTCAGTGCATATTTACACTGAGATTTATTTTATTTTTCCATCCACCACGGCGATAGGAAACAATCATCCATTTTCCTTGTGACTTTAAGCACTGACCACTCTTGAGAAGAAAAATGTGACACAGAGCTTGACTGGATGGCATGTGGTTTCCGTGACGAATGCCCTTACTTTGATTTCTGTTTGTTCCTGCTGTCTCTATAGAATCAGTTATTCACAACTGTCATGTTGTAACTAAAATGCAGTGCGGTCATCTACCTGGGCAGAGCTCGGCTTCCTCCAAAGCAGTGTCTCCTGTTGCTGCGCTGCGTGTGGGAGTGCCGACCTTTCAGCTTTCCTCCTCTTAATGCCTATCTGGACAGGGCTGAAAGATGACTATTTTGGGGGGGATTTGGGGCACATGGTGGTTGATGGGGGCCAAGGATGAGAATGGGTGAATGTTATTACTCATTCCAGAATTGGCCAAAGGGTGGAGGACCAGCTATGAAGAAACATCCTGGAGGTCAAGCTGGAGAGGAGGTAGCATATTCCCTGCTCAGGTTTCCTTTCTGGTGATTTGGGAGATTTTTGCAAGTCAGTGGCGTAAATAGCAATTATGCTGAATAAAGGAGGAAACGTTTTTACTGCTACCAAACATTCCCATGGGACTTTCTGTGTTTTCATTTAGAACTGGCAGGAAAACTTCATCTGAAATATTTTTAGATGAAATATAGCATTTTGATACAATTTTCCCCCCTTTTCTTTGAATATGTTCTGAAATTTTGCTGAAAAGCTCTCAAACAGAAATTCTGGGAGTTTTCCAGTTGCTGCAAATGGGGAATATTTCAGTTCCTGAATGGTGATTAATGTAGTGGAAGAGACACACATGCTTTTATTAATATATTTCCTAAAGAAAAACACAGTCTTTTGGTAAGTTCCAGCTTCAGGAGATAGGAGAGAGGTTTGATGGAGACAGGAGAAAGAGCAAGCAATGCATTCCTCTGCCAGGAAGACCATAGATCAAGACCCTCCAGTCTTCAACCTGGATGATTTTGCTATGGCTCTGTAGCACTGGAGGCATTCAATGAGCAGAGACCCAAGGTGCTGTCTTCTCCTGGAAGTTACCCTCCCAGCTCCGACGGCAGTGCCAAACCTGCCAGCTCCAGGGAACGGGAAGGCGCAGGTGACTTTAACCTCAGCGACGTTCCTCGCTGGTGTCTTGCGAAAAGCGTGCGTGGCTGTACAGAAACTACTGAAGCTTTGAGCCTCGGCACAATTTCTCCCTCATTTTCTTACATGTTTCAAGTTGAGATTAAAGGGCCAAGTCCTGGGCAGTTTTTACTTTCCTTAGGCCAGGTAGGAGCTGGCAGAGGACGAAAGGCTTTGCAAGGAAAGCTCTCCTGAGGGGCGAGGGAGCGGTGCCACAGCTCATCGGCTGCCCTTCCTCCTGCTGCGGTCCTTGGTGAAACTCCCCGCTGGGTGCTGCCTCCTGCTCCTGCCCGGCGCAGCCCAGCTCTGGGAGATTTGCGGTGTCACGAGCCTGTAACGCAGGAAGCGTGGCCCCTCCATGTCTGGCAATTTAAATGCATGTTGTCACCTTCTGCTGTCTGATCTCATTCCTCCCGCTTCAGAGAGAAATCAAAACTGAGAGGAGGTCTGTGGCCCCAAGCACCAGGCACTGAACCAGAAATGAGAACATTAAAAAGGAAGAGGGAGAAAATCGGCAATCCGGCTGACACGTGCAGGATCCCGGGTCACCTGGCTGACACGTGCTGAATGCCAAGGAGGAGCTGCCGGTTCAGAGCGATGTTTTGGCTTCCTCTGTTTCAAGGATGGGGTCATGGGCTGTACTGTCAGGTGGAGGACAGGAGAGGGGAGTCAGGAGACTGGGATGCGCTGCCAAAATCAAAATAATGGCTCAGCTGATGGCAGCTCTCACATCGGTGGCTGGTACTGGCGTGTGTCGTGGTGCTGAGCCAAGTTCTCCCTGCAGTCCTTTCTCCATGGGTCAGACAGTCCTGCCGAACAAAGCAGAAGTGTCAGCTTTGAAGGGTAAAGCATAGGCTGTGAATGTAAAGCTGCCACTGGAACTGCAGCTCCTTCCCCCCCACCATCCCATTCTTCCACCTTCCTCCCCTCGCCTGCTCCTTTCTGGCTTTTGAGGAGCATGTGTGGGTAATGAACTGGTGATTAGGTGATGTTTCAGTCAAGAACAGCAGTTAAGTACAGGTTTGCAACAATTAACAGTTAACTGAAGATTTGAAGGACACAGCAGAGTTGAGATACTAAATGAACCGCTGGTGCACACGAGGGACAAAAGCCTGATCCCCCATTTAACCATATAGATTAAGCACTGCGGGAGTCACTCCAGCGTGTGCTCAACGCGAGAGGTTGCAGAGGCTGGTTCAGAGCCCCATGAAAGGTAGATGGGCACAGACGTCTCCAGGTGGGGCATCAGTCAGACTCTTCCCAGGGATGGTATGAACGAGCTTGGGGAAAGCCGCAGCTTGGGTGTCTTGGGGTGTGGCTGCGCTGTTGTCTCAGCATCATTTCAGACTTGGCAGTAGGATGTAGTTGGTCAAGACTTTTGCAGTGCTTGGATGAACCTCGCTTTCTGACTCCCTTGCACGGTCCTGTTCTTATGATTTGATATCAGGATACTTGCTTTCCATGTGATTTCAGCAAATAGCAGGATCATTGTTACCCCCAACCCAGAGCACCTGGGCGACTTGACCCCAGAGTACCTATCCTCACTTGTAGCTCTCGTTTGGCTTGCGTTTGTCAAAGTCAACTGAAGCCTGGGAAAACTTGAAGAAAGGCTAACAAGAAAGAGTTGACCTCTTCCAACACCAAAAGAATGCTGGTGTCTCTGCGATACTATATTGTGCTTCTAGAGGAAATTCTGCTGTGGAATGAGTGGTGTGGAGAGAGATGGAGGACAGTTTTAAGTGTTGGGGATAATAATTTGTGTCGCATGACTGGACAGGTGTATGTGCACCAGGATCACGCATGACCAGACAGGTTGTGCATCAGGATATCGTTGTAATGGGTATGGTGTGGCCCTAGAGCAAGAGCAGGGTGTGCACGTGGCAGTTTGCCGTCCTCTCTCAGGAGGAGAGAGGCAGAGAAACAGTTGAGCTACAATCAAAGTAGTCATTTGTTGGACAGCAACATGTAGCGTGCTGTGGCTTCCACCCACTACTCCTGTCATTGACTTCACAACCTTTGTGAATACAATCTGAATGACAAAGGAAGAGCAGCGTATTTTCCCTGGCCGCTTCTGACGTGCTTTCTCATTCTTCTCTCTCCGCAGTGAATTTGCCAAAGAACGAGAGAGGGTAGAGAATCGTCGAGCTTTCCTGAAACTCCGTAGGCAGCAGCAAATTGAACGGGAACTAAACGGATACTTGGAGTGGATCTTCAAAGCAGGTAAGGCGAGAGATCTCCTGATCTTGGTTCTCTACGTTTTGTGGCAAAGTAAGAGTCTGGTGATGACAGGGCAAAGGTCCCAGAACTAGTCCTCGATGTTGCTTGCCGCTGAGGTAACCCAAGACTAGAGAGGGCCCAGCCAGCACTTGCTGAGTTTTTTGGGCTTGTTTCTGAGCAGTCACACTAAAGTTATTGCAAAAGATCTCAGTTTGGTTAAACAAAAATAGAGGAGCTGGGCCAACTTTCTTTATTGCTGAGATCAAAGCAATTGTCTTAACACAGTATAATATAAAAAGTGATACAGTGCCCAAAGTCTCCACAGTGGGGAAACTGTTCCCTTATATGAGTCATTTATATTTTATTTACTTTCCACCACAGCTGTTTTATAAGCCTCTCTTGCTATGATGGTAAAATACACTAGAGTGTCATTTTTATAAGCTGCAGAGATCACTTGGATGAAACTCACCCCAGCATGTATTAACATCGCTTTATAACTATTATAACCAAACATTGCACTTTATTACAAGCCATGAGCAATTTTAACAAGGACCTAAACGCACTAATTTAACAAAAAATACCATACTTTTCTTTTCCTTTTTTATCAGACAGTAAAAATTGCCAATAACCTTTCTGTGTTATAGAGTAGCTGATATATGTATTGATATAACCACAGTGCAATTCATTCACATAGCACCAAGAAAACTTCTGAGGCTAATTTGCTTCGTTGCTTGCTTTTCCGAGAAGCCGAAACATCTGAGTAAAGTGGAAATGCTTTTTAAAACAATGATGGGGGAGAAAAAGAACCTGTGATTTCTCAAATAAATTTTCGGGTGCCTTTCTAGGCAGGTCAACTTCCTCCTGTCCCTTTACAAATGAGGAAACTGTGGTCCAGCATTATACGGTCACTCGTCCGATGTCAGCTGACAGACCGGTGCCAGAACTGGCGTTCTGTGGTCCTCCTAAGCTGTGGGCTGGCACCATACTAAAAGCCATGTCATCATTCCGTGTTCCGAAATCCACACTGATGTGCTAAAATATGCTTGTGCAAGCAGGTAACCCTATGGTCACAGCAACTCCTTGCAGCATCGCACGTGCGTAGGCTGTGTGCGAGCCGGGGGCCGGAGCATCCCGGTGCTGTTCTGCCTGTGAGTGGCTCTTTGGATTTTCAACTTCTGTTTTATGTGCACAACCTGGGTGCCAGTATTTGGAAGAGCATTTTCACATGGCTCCCACTACTTTGCTTCTGCTTTCTCCTCTGAAGATCTCTGCCAGCCTGTGTGCCCGGGGGAGCGGGGCTCTGCCCTGCTGCAGGTCCCCCGGGAGCGCTGGGGAGCGGCTGGCGGTCCTCCTGAGCGCCTGCCATACCTCATGGTCTGGGCATGGGTTTGGACAACCTGGCCAGAGGGAAAAAGACTGAAGCATTGAAATGTAAAACAGGAAGAGGTAGCAGTAGCTTGTATAGTGGCTTGAACCCATGATTTCCCATAGAGCTATACAGAGTGGCAGTTGAGTGCCACTCATATTGATGGACTTCTATTCGTTGTGACTGTTCAACAGCAACTGTCCTCAATTAGGCAACCACACTTCATTCTGTGGTTCTGTAGGGTTAAATAAGAAGAATCTTTCATTTTCAATTTATAATTTGTCTTCCCATTTGTTTACAGCTTTTGTGCTGCCTCAAATTTGAATTAATTAATGATTTACCCAGTGGCTGGAGCAGAGTGCACAGGGGTTCTCTCTTGACTCTAGTGCCATCTTGCTTTTAAGGCTCTTGTTATTTCTCCGTCTCTAAATCCTGGTCTCCCCATCAGTAAAATAAAGACGAGAATTCCCTTGCAGGGATGTGGGTTGCTTCAGTTCGTTTTGATGACTGTTCTGCCAAGAAGAGTTATGCAGAGGTCATTAGCTGAACTTGTCTGAAAGTTGAGGTGAAGAAGTTATAAAACATTTGGCCAATCTCTGCTCCAACTCTATATCCCTGTGGGAATGGCTGGCTATTCTATTCCTGTGTTGCCAGCGCTGAATAAATGCCACATCAGTATAGAGTGAAAATGCTGTAAAATGCCCATCTTTTTATTTTGTCTAGTAACACAAGACCAGAAGACTTTCTAGAACAGGAAATTGTATGCAGAATAGCTGAATCAGAGAATAATAAAAATATTCTGTAAAGGCACTGTTGAAAATACAATAGGAACATAAAAAAAGCTTCCTAGTACAGCTGAATAATAACAATAATTAAAATCAACTTAGCAGTGTTAGTAAATCTTTGAATGCAAAAGGTAGCGTGAAGGCTGACCAAAACAGAGACTTGAGCCTTTAGAATTCAGGCGCTGAAATTTGGGACTCTGCTGTCGATGGGGATTTCCCATTTCTGTTTTAAAGGCCAGGATTTCAGCTATGAAATGATCATGAATTTCCAGACTAGATAATCAGTCTTCCTTGTCCAAGACCGTGTGTGGGACAGTGGCCAAAGCAAACGGCGTGTGCGGGGGGAGGAAAACAGCCGGGGAGGATGGTCATGGACACTCCAGCCTGTACGGAAATCTCTTGCAACAGTCCCAGGCAGTGAGATGTAATAAGCTGTTTGCAAAAAAGAAAGAGCAAAAGTCTTGGTATTCTGCTCTAATGTAACTCTAGAGAAAATTTTGTCAGTATTTATGCAGATATCTAATTGTTTTTAAAGCCTTCTAGCATCCTTGACCTCAGTGAATCTTGTGGCAAGGAGTTCCACATGTTAACAGTTGATTTTAAAAAACAAACCAACACACCGAACAGTACGTCCTGTCCTTGATTTTAAATACGTTGCCTTTCTGCAGTTAGAGGAATTGCTCAGGCAGGCACTTCATATTTCTTTTAATTACTTTTCTTTCTCTGATCTCTCACTACCTTGTTTCATCTTACTTTTTCTGCTCTAAAGCATGCAGAACCAATCTGCTCAATCCCCTCTCTTCCCATGGAAAGCTCTCCAGGCTTCTAATATTTATAGTATCCTCCCTGAGCATTTTGTTTGTTTGGCTTTTTTTTCCTCATTTATTTTTGATGCAAGGTAGGAAGAGTGGAAAGTTGCATTCCAGTGATTCATAAAGTGGCATCTTAATACTTAACATGATTGGTTTTGCTCTGTAATGTTTTACATATTCTGGGTAGTTGCTGGAGCTGGAAAGGAGGTTTCCTTGTTCTTGGTGGTTCTCAAGTCTTTACCTCAAGGGCTGTAAATGGTTTAGGACCAAGGAAAGTATTTGAGTGGCTAATATCACTCCTTCATCTGTACACTACCTCCCGCTCATCCACAATGATTTTAATTTATCATGTGCTTGTCATTTATTGACCACTTGTGAGTGTCGTTAATGTTTCTCGCAGCCTTCTCTATTAGTAATCTGAATGATGTTGTATTATTGCTTTCTGTACATAGTGCATTAAAGTGGTGCATTAAATTCAGATAGAATTTTGGGGTTGTTTACTATCAATCCTTTCTTATACTGAAATTTTAGACTGTTTAGTTCACCTTTTAAGTGCTGACTTAAGCGTGTTCCAGACCTGGCCTAATGACTTGTCTTGCATTGGTGTTGTAAGAATGAAACTTCTTTAATAGCCTGGCTCTTGAGTAACTGACTTTTATATTTTTATTTTTCTTTTTTTTTTTTTCCTGGTGGTATTTTTACATTTTTTTCAGTGGTAAAATAAGATTATAGAAAGGAAAAAATATTAATAAAAAGTGCTTGTGAATTTTTCAAGGATGTTACCTTGGCACAGCTGAAAGATTTTGGGGCCAGCTTGCTATTGGTAAATCATCAGAAGTGCAGCTGTGATTGAAACTGAAGCAAACAAAGCTCAGGCTGTTTTAAATGTGGATTGTTTAATACAGTCAGCAGCATATATGCTTGAGGGATCTATACCGGGGTGTTTTAAACGGTGACAACCTTAATGTGCAAATGCTTGTGTGAGTTATACTTAATACAGGAAGCCTTAACTGATGAAGTGCTTAACAAACACTTTCTCAACAAAGGGTTGGGGAATGAAAGAGAAAATTATAACACAGTTAATGTGCTAAATTGCTGAATTTAGACATGCATGACTTGAAATAAAAAAAAAATCAACCTGCGGTTGGACCAATTTCCTTAGCGTTTAGGTGGACCTTCTTCGTTTAGGATTATAGAGAGGCCAGGTATGAAGTTTTACTTATTTCTCAGGTGAATGTTGTAACTTGTAGAGTCCTTTTGAGGATGTCAAGAAGAAATGTCATACCACCTTAAATGACTTATAAATCTGTAAGTGTCATCAAATCCATAAGATTTTTGGTTTTATAAAAACTAGTGCAAGTTACAGGCCAGAAGCAATGATCAAATCCTATAATTACTTGCATGTAACAGAATTTAGGCCAAAAATTTGTATGGTAATTGCCATGTCAAGCTTATAAACATTGACTCGCTGTATCATTTAGAAGTGAACTCCATGGATCAGTTAGAAACAGACCTGTAATCTTAAATGCAATCGGGAAGAATAAAGTCAACTGTCTGTTGCTTTTAGTAAATTCGTTAAAGGGATCAACTCTTCCCACCACTAGAAGTCAGCTGCTATAGGTGTAAAAAGCAAGCTTCGCGCTCTGTTGCTCCTCTAGGCATGAGACAGCAGTTCTCTTCCCCAAATGCCTCTTCTTCAGTTTATCCACTATCAAATAAATTCTTGTTGGTGACGAGCAAACCCTGTCCTGTTCCACCCGCTGTTTCATGTTTTCCTTGGGCTCTGTGCAAAGGTAGCAGCGAGTCAATTTGAGATTGTGCCTTTCAGAGGAATTAAAAAGTGGTGAAGCCAAGCAATGTAATCCATGCAAATGATTTTGCCACTGCTGCTTTCTCTATTAAACTCCTCAAAACTGTAGCAACCATTAGGCTGTCATGCTGCATTTCCAACAAAGAACGGAGAAGTAGAAGTTCTCTGCACAGAGTGAAGTGCTTATAAGCCTGCAAATATTCTTTTGAAGATGTTTCCCTTATCTTACAAGGACATGTGTCATTTTGAAAACACTTTGCTCAGAGACTGGAAGTCTTTCAGTTCAGAGCTAATCAAGTTGCATGTCTTTTGCATTTTCAGTCTTCCCAAGTCCATCTCTTTCACACAGCACTGATTCTGAGTGTTTCTTTTGTCCTGGAGTAAGCAGGCTTTGGGAATGGGTTTAACCTCTCTCTTTTAGGTCACTGTAACTTGTTACTTGGCACAAAAAAGCTTTATGAACCTCAGGTTTCAGCTTTCTGCAGAAGAAACAGAGCAACAAGCCCCTTGATACAGCTGAGAAAAGACACCTACATCAATGAAAAAGGGCAACAACGCGTGTGAGATGGCAAGGGAGGATAATTGCCAGAAAATCAAATTAGAGTTCCCCGTGAGAGTGTGACAGCTGCTTCTAAGGGATGCATTTTCGTTCACTTTTTCTATTTAATAAATCTGAAGCTTTAACAGTTAAATTCAGTTGCACTTCCTTTTTTCTAACTTCTGTTGCCCGTTGAACGTGGGTTATGTCCCGTAATCTGCTCTTCTTTTGAGCCCACAATGGCCTATCTCCCCATGCCAAAGAGAAAGAGAAGGGGCACCATGTTTCTCTTCTGCTTTACCTGTATTGTTCAGCTTGCCAGTTCCTCAGGATAAGGTTTGCCTTTATTTCCAGTCCTGTAACCTGCTTGTCAGTACCTAATGACCAGCAATTAATCTTACTGCTGAGACACCTCTCATTCTGATACCCTAGCGAAGCCCCTGTGCCTTTGGAGGCTAGAAGTTGCCGATCTGATACTGTCTGTCTGTTGAATATTTCTTCTAATGTAGAGGAACTGTTGTTTGGAGGTTTTGCAGGCACCCTAGTTATCTTCTTCTGTTGTTACAGTGATGATTAAAGGCAATGCAACTCCTGATCCTCTGCTTAGGATGCTGTATGGTTAAAAAAAAATAATCCTAACAGTGATGACTAGCCTGCTGAGCTGTCTCTTTAGCATGCTTTAAAAGCCATGTGGAGTCCCACTAGGATAGATGTGGTCCTTCGGTTTCCCAGAGGATACAAGGCAGACAGGAGTGACTATCAAGGGAAGGAACAGGAGAGCAATGGTGGAGGAGAGCCAGACTTGAGGGAATTGCAAAGATGAAACCTCCGTTTTGTTTATTTTAAGGGAACAGTAAAACTGAGATCCAGTGAGATACGTCTATAGATGGAGATATGGTTGGACACCAACTCAGACCCCTGAATTTGGGGCGAAGGCTCAGCTGGTTTGCAGAGTTGTCTCGAAAGAGTGCATACATTGTAGGTGAAAATATGTTCATATCAAATTGTCACATCTTACAAATTCTGAGGCCCTGCTGGCATTTATCGATCTGTTTTGTAAAGCCCCACTATGGCTAAACCTCTCATCAGTCTGACTGTGGGGACACAGGTGACACTGGAACATCAGATAGCATCAGTACACCGTTGCAAATCACGACTATTATGTACCCATACAGTTCACAGTCCCCAGGGGTCATCTGGGGACTCAGGATTGTTCCTCCCCTGCTGCTCAAAGGACAGTGGTGAGCCATGGCGAATTGTTACAGGAATGCACAAAACAAGAGGCCACCCAGAAACAAGGGAAAAGAAGAATTTCTGTCTCCTATGCAGAGATCTTTGAAAGGAACCAATACAACGATTTTCCTCCTGCACAGATACGAATCAAGCGCAGAACTGAGCTTCCAGCTAAGTTAATAGGCTCTTTCGTTCCTGGAGTGTTTTAGTTTTTTTAGCAAGATGTGACTGAAACCAACAACCGTCAGAGCATTGACCAGTAAGTGCGCTGGCTTCTCCCCGAGACCTTCCTTCTGCAGACACAGCGCTCTTGCATTGCGCTCACCGGGGTGCGGCCCCTGAAGAACAGCCGCCTGTCTTCCGACCTTCGCTAACTCATTATTTTTGTTGCCCACCACCTGCATGGCAGGGTGTCCGCTCCCTGCAGTAGTTTGTATTAGTCCATTTAATTACCAAATGCTGCCTAAAAGTCAATTTTTCTTTCTGGGAGTGGCAGAAGAGCTCCTTTGGGAAGTGCTTGCTCTTTATCACGAGACCTAAATGTACGCTTCGTTCCAAATGGTTTTGAATATTCACTGCAATTTGCTAGTACGTAGCATAGGAAAAAAACTACATCTGTGTTGTGTAGAGGAGCACAAAATGGAGAACCCCAAAGTACTGATGACTGAACTAATTCCTGGATCCAAAGAAGTGCAGAAACACCTGCGTGGCACTATTGACTCTACTGGTACTAGGAGCTAGACTCCATTTTATGCTGAGTCCTGTGCAGCGATGTGGGTTTAACAGCTTCAGATGTGACATAAAGCTTTTAATATCACACTCCATGAGCAATGTAAGTTTTAAAAAAAATGTATAGGACAACGTCCACTGTAACAGCATCTCAAGCTCATGCTCCTCCTGGCATAGGTTTGCTTGTGTTTCAGATTTACAGGCCTTTTGTCCAGCTGTCTTGGGGAAGGGGTCTCCAAATCTGAACCATCCCTTCTACGTGTTTTAGGGCAGCCACATTCATTGCTAATTGCCGTTTAACTCCTTCCATATTTTTAGCCCCCAAACACCAGTACAGTTTTCGCTTGGCAAGACTTTGGAAGAACCTTTTGGTTTCTGAGGTGCCAGCTTGAGAAAGGAGTCTCTTGAACTCGAACTCTTGAAGCCCATTTCACTTTGTTGATGTGTCTTAAGGAGCCTCGGAAACCTGAATTGTATTGGCTTGTGGGTTTTTGGAAGGATTTCATGCCTTTTTAAGTGCAAAATTTTAGCTTACCTAACATTTTTGACCTTCTCTTGTCTCTCCTTTCCTCTGTGTCTCTGGTGCACTAGTTTGCACTTTCTTATTTAGTTCTCCTCTGCTTGGGCTTCCAGTCTTCCTCAATCCTGGGTATTGCTTTTCAGCCTTGTCAATTTGCTGTCTTATTAATGTAACATTCAGTTTCTTTCCCAGATGATTAATGAAGAGATTATATAAGGCTTCTGTGGTAGCCCTGATCCCTCTAGTATTCTTCTAGTCAGCTGTCAGCTACACACTTTGATGTTTGGCCTGTGGTTGGTTGGTTGGTTTGTTTTATTTTTAGTTAGCCTTCCATCTAGGATTACTTAAATGGACTTTAAAGCAAAATTTTATGGGAACACAGTGTCAGATGTTGTAGTAAGATCCCAAATTACATCTATGCCAAGCATGTGAAAGACTTTCTCGTTTATAATACAAGGAAGTGTATAGTTTACCGGCTGCCAACTCAATATTTTGTTTGCTTTAGATTGTCCTCTAGAAAATCTTCACATAACTTTACAGCAGCAAGCTAAAATTGGTGGTTCAGACTGTATGAAGTGTGTGGTTTCAAGTATTGGCGCAGCTTGGCGTGCACTGCAAATTGACTTGGGTGATGACATTTGCATTGTGAAACCTCAGGAGATTTGATTGTCTTTCCTGCAGATAAAAATGAGTCAATTTTGGGAGATTGGTTTTTTTTTTCCATGTTTTCTGAATTCTTTTACTGTAGGAATGTATAAACTTGTATTTTGGAGATGAGTTACACAGGAATGGAAAACCAGCGATGGTGTTCTTGCACGTATTGCACAACATGAACTATGCTAGCCAGAACTCCCCTGTAGAAATTTTGCTGTGAGTTTCATTTGGGCAAAGATTTGATGTGATGGTTATTTGATGACATTCTGTCTCCTGTGATGTGGCACAGCTGACATGCAGCAGCCGACCCTGCTTGTGTTACCCTGTGCCATGAGACAAATGTCTGTTTCCCATGGGCTGAGTCCTCATCTTGTTGATGGAAACAGAAGAGCAGCAATGGCTGTAGAGCATCTTTCATTTCTCAGAGTGTCTCCAATGTGGCTGGGCATGAGGGACCGTCCTCTGGCTTGTGGAGACCTGTGTTCTTGCTTGGATCTGAAGGAAGGTTCTTGGTCTCCCGAAGTCCCTTGCGGATGATAACTGGGTAAAGAAACTGGAGTGGGTGGTTGATTGTGAAGAGAGAAATCATGGAGGAAGTGCTATGGTCTTCCAGTGGTTTGTCTGGCCTCCTCCCCCTGTGCAAGAGGGGCACAGGGTAAGAAACATGGCTTTCTGAGCCATCCCTTCCTCCACAGACTGGGTGTAACTGGGTGATACAATGGGGTAAGGTTAGTGGCAGCTAGAACAGATGCCCACTGCATCCAGCTCAGCTGGTTTTAGAGCAGGGATGTGATAAATGTGAAGTTGAACATTGCTGTTTTTCCTTTTACAGAGGAGGTCATGCTGGCAGAGGAAGACAAGAATGCAGAAGAGAAATCTCCTCTGGACGGTAGGTTGTTTTGCTGTGCAGTTTTCCTTCTGTGATACGTGAGAGGTTCACCTGCTGTATGCTGACATGGCTTTCTGTTGTAACCAGGAGGGTGTGAGGAACACACTCTTGCATGCACTTGGCATAAGTCGGGCTAAAGAGTCCCTTTTCCCGTATCAGGTCTTTTTGAGGTTGCAGGTGGATGATGAGCAGTTATGTGACACGCCACTCTGGGATGGGGATCTGCCCTTGGGGTCCATCGGTCCCTACACTGCCTATGGGACCGCAGCGTGACGGGGACACCCGCCAGCCTCTGCCGAGCATGGCTGGCCGTGTCTACGCGCAGGCTGTGGCGGGGGTAGGCTGCAGAGCGGATGCCAGAAGAGAAATGCATTGACCGAGAGAAGGCAGGGCTCTAAACCGAGGTTTCCAAATGGATTTGACAAAGAGACTAAGACCCCTGTTACCTGTAAGCAGTAAGACATAACAGGGTGTGGTGATCCTATCTTCCGACGTGTGACCCTAGCGTTGCAGGACGGCTGGAAGTACCGAGCTTCGGATGCAGGTGCAGCGAGGCTACGGGGACTGCTCTCCCTGTGCCTCCAGACCGATGAGCTCGTAGGATGCGACAGCCAGTCAAAGTTCAGTTAAAGATTCTTCCCTCTCCCTTTTCTGACCATCTTTCGTCCTCCCATGTCTCCTCCTTTCCCCTCCCCTCCCTTTCCCTCCTCTTTTTTTTTCTCCTCCCATTCACTGTCAGGGAGGGCCGCCTCGGAAGGGCCGATTCAACAAGGCACGGCACCGGCAGAGACTAGCAGCGGCAGCA